ACCTAACATTAGTGTATCCATTTTTATCTCAGCTCATGCCATATTTTGTGATGGAAATTCTCGGTGCGTTTCCAGGACTGCCAGGCTTATTTGTCGCATGTGCGTTCAGTGGAACGCTGAGGTAAAGTTAATTTTCAATTTATACATCAAAGTTCACAATACTATATGTGATAGTATAAACTAAATGTTGCAACGGAGTTTAATTTAAATTTAAAATGAATTTACTTAAATTTACGTAGACCCTGAATACAATGTTTATTTATGAAGATTTTTTTTTTTTTTAGAATTTAGATTTAGATATATACCACTGGTAATTGGGACTCGTGTTATTTTAATTAACCTAATTTGGTGTTCCTGGTCAAAAATGACCAGCCTTTTAAAAACTGCTCGTAAATCTATGATTATGCTATATTATCACCAAATCTTGGAATCGTTCAATTTTTCAGTTAACTTGTTTTCAGGTTTTGTATTTCTTTTTCTAAGTGATTGATCGCAGGCCTCATTGAGTTAAGCTAATGCACCTCCGTTTTTGAGCGACCAATCCGTTCCAAAAAGAAACATAAAACTTGTTCTAATTGATGATGAAAACAAGTTGGCAAAAAGATTGAATCCAATATGTTGTAATGGTATAGCATAATGAGAAACTCGCAAGAAATGTTTTGTAGGCCAGTCATTTTTGACTGGGAACACCACAAGTGCAACAACGTGAGAGGGGGAAAAATCCCCCCAATTTTTTAGGAAGTTGTTATACCCTGTGTGAGCAAAATCACTAAGATTTAGTCCAACTTGATAACTTTAACTAGCATTTTTAGGGAAAAGAACTGGAACACAACATGAGGGTTAAACAGATTTCAGAAGACAGTCAAAGGTTGTATTATTCATTTCTGGAATTCAAAGAAATTTCCAGGATAGTTAGACAGTAAATAATGACAGAACTTTCATTTTTGGGCGACCTTCCTTTAAATGGGTTTTCACGTATGTTTATCTGAGCAAAACATCTGAGCTATAAAAGGAGACGTCATGTTCTGTTTCTGTTTTTCAGCACAGTAGCTGCCAGTATCAATGCTTTGGCCACGGTGACGTATGAGGACTTTGTGAGCCAGTGTTTTAGAGATCTGTCCAACCGAGCGGCCAACTGGATCAGCAAAGCTCTGTGTAAATACACCCAGTGTTTTCAAGACATTAAAAGAGGATACGCTCATAATCCGAATATTGATTCTGTCATATGGCATGAGAGCAGATTTAATCACCAAAAGAGATTTGTCTTGGCGGATCAGTACATTATTATGAGTCACGGTGAGATGAAAAAGTCTGTTCATTCTGCCAGTCTATATGGGCAGAAATGAAAGCGCATCAGATCATCGGGTCTCCTGATTTTTCTAGGAAGGGTCTGATGCTTTTAACAGGCAGAAGTAGGTCAAACAAAAGGCGGAGTGAACCAAACCAAAACCAAAGGCAGTGTGAACTGTATAAAGTTGGTCTAGAAACTGTAGAGGTCAAACACTTAGCACTTTGCCCAGCAAAGAATGATAAGACCAGTTCACCTTAAAAGGTTACTCCAGCCCAAAATAAACATTTTGTCATTAATCACTTACCCCCATGTTGTTCCAAACCCATAAAAGCTTCGTTCGTCTTTCGGAACACAAATTAAGATATTTTGGATGAAAATCGGGAGGCTTGTGACTGTCCCATTGACTGCCAAGTAAATTACAATGTCAGGGTTCAGAAAAGTATGAAAGACATCGTCAAAATAGTCCAACTGCCATCAGTGGTTCAATCTGAATTTTATGAAGCGACGAGAATACTTTTTGTACGCAACGAAAACACAAATAACGACTTTATTCAACAATTCGTCTCCTCCGCGTCACTGTTGCGCCATTTTGGAGAGTATCCACTGAACACGAACTGTGTACGCTCTTCTGTGTCAGCCGCACCACACGGATGCGCTGTTTTAGTTCAAATCAAAGCGTAAATAAACGTAGAAAACGTATCAGTGTGGTACGGCTGACACAGACAAGTAGAACAGCATACGCAGTTTACATTCAATGGATACTCTCCAAAATGGCGCTACGGTGACGCGGAGGAGACGAATTGTTGAATAAAGTCGTTATTTGTGTTTTAGTTGCGTACAAAAGGTATTCTCGTCACTTCATAAAATTCAGATTGAACCACTGATGGCAGATGGACTATTTTGATGATGTCTTTCATACTTTTCTGGACCTTGACAGTGTTATTTACTTGGCAGTCAATGGGACAGTCACAAGCCTCCTGGTTTTCATCCAAAATA